ACACACACACACACACACACACCTGGTCACCTAGTTTTCTTTCTTTTGGTATAAAAAGCTCGTAGCTGAGTTTGAAATGTTTTTCCTTCTGTTACTGAACAGAACAATAATAGTTATTATTTAATGGTCTGTTTATCCCTTTTTCACATTTGTCAGGAAACCGTGTGGAGACAATCCTCAGTCACTTTCTTAGAATCTTACATCAGACAAACAGTCAAATGTCATTAAAGTAGAAAGAGACCCAGAGCGCTGGCTTCAGCTCGTCACCACACGAAAACCATCTCTCCTCTCTGTCTTTATGTGGCTTTCTGCATGAAAAAGTTTGGATAAAGACGACGACTTGTCCTCGCTTGACTTTGTTTAACCTGTTTGAATCTCATTGACTTGGTTTGTTTTTGTGACCTCACTATCACCACATGGGAGGTTTCTGTCTTTCCATCCTCATTGCTTCACTTGGGTCCAGCTCGGTCTCCGCTAATGTTTGACCAGCGTTTGACTGTGAGCTCCACGTGGTGTAAAGTGAAAGATAATTAAATGTAAACTATTCTCATCAGGGAACATTGATGTTTCAGATGAGAATGGATCAGAACTGACGTGACTCTGGACGTCCAATAAACTGTGACTGTTACAACAGATACCTACAAACAGTGAATTCCATTCACTGGAATGAAAAACAGGAAGACGGAGTCGGAGACAAATGTGGTTCACGTGGATCTGTCAGGAAATTACAGGTACTGAAGGAATGCCGTCCCATCATGCAGCTGACGGAGCCTCAGGACAGGTTCACCTCTGGATCAGATGATGTCTCGAAGACGATGTGGGATCAGCTTCTCGATTTAACACGATCAAATGTGAAGAGAGGGGCTGTGTGGTCAAAGTCGTCTCTGAAGATCAAACTGGAGGAGGACGGAGCAGATTCTTTTTACTGTCGGGGTCATTTCACTTTTCTTCATCAACATTTGTCACACTAACCTGGAAGTGCTTCTGTCTGATGTCTGATGGTAGTGATGAAGATAATGAAGATAATGATGATAATGCTGCTCACAGCTCATTTCAGAATCAAACCTCTCGTCTGGTTCTCTGTCAACACAACAAACACCCATTGTTTCTGACTGTGTGCGTCGTGTATAAACTGATCAGCAGGTTGTTCCACAGAGAATTTAATGTTCACATGTTCCAACAATCACTCAAACATCAGTGAAGCTAAATTCAAAGCTGAAATACAATCGACAGTATTACAGATACTTTGAGCTCTGATGATTTTGTTCTCATTGTCCTGACAACAAAAGAAAATCTCCACATAAAGAGTTAAACCTGTGATAAAGCAGGAAATTCAGGCTTCGGAAGGGCCGGCCTGATCCGGCCTGATCTGGCCTGAGGTGTTTCCTCTGTGCATGCCAGAGACGGAGTGAGCGTTCTTCCTGCTCCGTGTCAATTCTGCAACAACAACAACAACTGGAAGAACTCAGTTTTCTGTGTATTTTACCATCTTCATTCTAAATGTTTTATATCACTAATGTTTGAAACGTTTAGTCGGAAGGATCTTGTTGAGCTGGATGTTTGATAGATTTCTACACAGAGTCTGTGTTGGTGGTGGAGCTTCATGTTTTTATAAAGATCTTCTAACTGTTCATTCACATTCATACATTCACATTCATACATTCACATTCATACATTCACATTCATACATTCACATTCATACAGTGCATCCATGGGCAGCACTTTCTCTATGAGGGGTTCACTCTCTTGCACAAAGACCCTACGACATGCGATGTGGAATGCTGGGATCGAACCGCCGAGCGTCTGGTCAGAGGACGACTGCTGCCCAACACAATCTGACCAAGTCATGAGATCATCACAAAACTGGAGACTCCTGGAATGAACATGTGTGTTTTTAATCATAGTATAAATTAAAATAACTCAGTGTTCTGCACAAAGTTTCAAAATAAAAGCCCTGAAGGGAAGAAGAAACTTTAGATGTGAAACAGATGCAGGATGTGGACTGTCACAATAAATGAAATGAATCAAATGTTCACAAACTGAACAGAAAGTTATATTTTATCAATAAAATCATTAATTAAATTCTCTCAGATTCAGGTTTTGTTTTTATTCCTCTCGCTGATGTAACGCAGGCTCCGCCCACTGATTATTTATAAAATCATCTATTCAGATCAAATGTTTGTAAACACGGTTCTTTGTTTACAAACAATGATTATATAATAAAACGATTTCGTAAACTTCGAGGAGTCATTGGACGATCAGATTAAATGGGAGTGGTTTGTGGGGTTTATTGTTTCTTTATGTTCTCATCACTTTGATCTCATCGATATCGAACCTTCTCTAGATTTTCTCATTGGGAGACATGAGACTTCAAATACCAGCGACCCATTGACAAAGATGTTTACGACGCTGGAGCTGAAAAAATTCAATACAAATATTCAAAATACCCAACGTTGACCTATTGTGGAGATTATATACAGATAATAATACACATGTCCACGATGATTTGTTGCTCTTTAATAACAAAGGCTTCAGGAGTCGTGAATATTTTAGCACAAATATATAAATTTATTTCAGAAAAGGGAAAACATGACTGACGCAGTGCATGTCAGCTACACACTTCTTCAAGTGAAACACAGAATTCAAGGGTGCTGACCCTTCAGTGAGAAAAAAGAAATATATAGATCGTCTCAATCCCAGCCTCACATACTTTACACTCATCACAGAATCACACTTGTAAAAACACGCGAACATTCGGTATTCACACCATCTCTCGACGTACGATGACCACAGAGACATTTCCCAACTTCTTCCTCGTTCAAGGCAACGATCACACGCAGAGACTCGTCCGTTGATAGCAGCTCAGGTCCTTTTCTCAAAATTACATCATCCAGACATTTATCGTCAAACGTGTGCAAATCACACAGACGAAGCAGAAACTCACATTTCACACATGACGGCAACTTTCAATCAGGTTCAATTACTTTTCTCATCTGAAGGTGCAAAAGTTTAATGTGCAAGTTTCATTAGAAATGAATCAAATGTGTTTGCTTTAGCAGAGACGTGCACTCCCCGTACTCTCCCTTCAATATGAAGGACTTCATCAGCTCCTGCTCCTTCAGTTGACAGAAATCACATTGAGAGAGACGTCTCAATCAATCAGTGCAGATTCAACACATCAGACATTTGCTGTGGATTGTACAGATTCTGTGTGTTTTACTTTGAAGGCACAGTAATATTTTACAACAGAGGAACATGTGAAACACGACAGAGTCACTCCCTCGTCACGGCTCTCATGCTGCAGTGAGAAGCAGGTCAGTTGAACACGGAACACTCTGTGTTCTTCCTCTGCTGCAAAGCAACAGTTGTTTGCTTTAGTTTAGTTTTTGGCCGAGAGCCAGTCCGGTCACACTGAACCCTGTTGGCGTCTACGCTCAGTTCGGCGGCTTGTCAGCTCAAATCCCCTGCTCTCACCAGTACGGCACTGTGTTATCGATCTGACCCCAGCTCTGCCAGCCGGGGAACAGTCCGCTCGACATGCGTGGGCTTCCGAACTGATCGAAGTCCAGCTCCAGAAGCTTCACGCTACCGTTCGTCTGCTCCGGAGGCTTCTTCTGCTCAACAGAAGTCTGGGACGTCAGATTGTCCTCGCCGTGTTTGAGAACGTAGTTCTTGCCGTCGTTATTGTCCCAGAAGGTCTGACCCTGGACCTTGAAGCAGATGCAGAACTCGACATGGTTTTGTGGTGGGATGTAGGACGGCAGCTCCAGAACAAATGCATAGGTGTCATTGTCCTGGCAGCCGTACACGTTGTTCATGAAGGTGCACTCGACGTCTGTGAAGCTGGTCCACGAGTCGAAGGTGGCGCGTACCTGCACCGACTTCTCGAAGCCAATGTTCCGGACCTTGATGGTGCCGGTCAGTGAGCGCTTCTGCAGGGAGCAGTTCTCCAAGCAGACCGAATTCTGAATCAGGCGGTTCCGGAAATCCAGGTAGTCGGCGGAGGGCTGATTAAAGTCCAGCGCCAGGCTGCCCACAGAGCTGATCTTTAGATCCTTGGTGGCTGATTCCAGGTCTGTCATGTCAAACTGCAGCTCCTCCATGATGCCTCCACAACGCTTGTTTTTATACGGCTCATCGTCGAACTTGGAGAAGACGTGGATGGCTGTGAGTGACATCCCCTTGGTGTCGGCGAACACCACCCTCTTCTTGCCGGCCTTGTTGTTCCAGGTCACACAGCCATCGTCTTTGTGCTGGCTGCTGAGGCAGGGCCGCAGGGGTTTGTAGAGCCGCTGCTTGAGGCAGCGGCCCGTGGACTGGTTGACCCGGTTGTTGGCTCGCTGCAGCTCCTCGTAGGAGCTGAGGAAACCCCGCAGCGGCGGCGGAGAGTGGCTGATGTAGAATCTCATGGCCACTTCCATCGGCATGACTGGGCCGGGCATCGCTGATGGACTGAAAGACGTGAGCACACTGAGGGGTGGTGAGGGGGAGGTGCAGAGAGGAAGGGGAGGGAGAGAGAGAAGGAATTTGAGAGAAAATTCGAGGTCAGTGGAGAGAGAGAGAGAGAGAGAGAGAGAGAGAGAGAGGGAGCGAGAGAGAGAGGGAGATATAGGGAGGGAGAGAGAGGAGAAAAGATCAGAACAATGCAATGGTTTTTCTTGTTTTTATAAAAAAATCTGCTTCTGTTT